TAAACCTTCTAACCCTAAACCCACTAGACCTAAACCATAAACCTTCTAACCCTAAACCCACTAGACCTAAACCATAAACCTTCTAACCCTAAACCCATTATAGACCTAAGCCCTTTTGCCCTTCCGCCCCATGGTGCAAGGACCGGCTTGCTGGGGCGCTTCTGGGGCCGGCAAGAGTCGGAGGACGAGGCTTCTTTTGAAGTCCTGCGAGTCGGTTTTGGGTGTTAGGGTTGTGGGGCTTTAGGGCTCTAGGGTTTTAGGGCTTGGGGATGTTTAGGGTTTAGGGATAATGATGATACGGACGATGATGATCATGCTAGTTACGAGTCAGTATCAGAATACCAAAAAATGCGAGCAGGAGCACTTGCAACATGTGAAACCAGGGTTGAGGGGTTTGTTTCCAGGTACTCTCATAGTACTGTAAGATTTCGCAGGTCCCGACTGCGTAGATATTGAAAGGATTGGGGCAAAAGTTCTGCATAATAGAGTATAGAGATTTTTTGCAGTCGGTGGAATTGATTGTGTGCATCTGCTATGGTCCAGTTTTATTCAATGTAGTTTTCGTGGCAAAGTTCGCACCGGACGATGTTGCGGGCCAGGACGATTTACAGAAGTCTGCAGACCGTCTCTGTAATGTAGGGGCCTAAATAAATACCTATATATATATTTTTTTTTTGGGGGGGGTTCCTCATTAGATTTGTAGTACAACATACCCCAAAAGCTTATTATAATTATAGTACTCAGAAGTAACGAGCTCTAGACTCTGAAATGAAACCCTGTCACAACCAATATGCCCCAAAAGCCCCAGAAGTAGCAACCCTAAACCCTACATCCTACACAAATTAGTATACTCTTCTAGTTCTTTCCGAAGCAGACCTCGCTGTGAGCATAGTTTCTCAGCCTTGCGAGAGGGAAAAAAAACTACACCCTGAACCATAAACCCTAAACCCTAAGCCCTGAACCCTAAACCGTGGCATCAAGAGCCTTGAATGGGGAGCAAGGTGGAGGCGCCAGAGACGGCGCTCCTCTCATCCGAGGAGCGGGTCCATTCTTCCAGTTACGCATAGGCTATATGTATAAATATACATATATATATATAGGTAAATGAATATAAATAAATAGATATGTGTATATCTGTATATGTATGTATGCATACATGCCGGGACATTTGCTTTTTAGTTAAGCCCATCATGCCCATCCAGCGCTCCCAACTCCCTAGAACCTTCCTGAACCCTAAACGGAAAAGGCCAGTGATACCCCCATCAGGTTTCAGTCCCTGGGAACTACGGACAGAACTTATAACATATAATACAATATATTACAATATAATGAATATAATATAGTATATAATTTATAGTAATTTATGTTATAATATATATATATATATATATATTTTATATATATATATATACACTAGGATATAATATAATATAATATAACACCTTATAATATAACATACTACATATATGATATGATATGATATGTTCTGTTATATTGTTTAATGTTGTATTACTAAATAAATAAATATATATATATATATATATTATATTATGTTATATTATAACATATTATATTCCATTATTGTTTTGTGTGTATATATATATATATATATGTATATGTATGTATGTATATGTATACTATTACATATTATATATATATATATGTATGTATGTATATACTTCATGTTAGAAAGCAAGATACAACAACACACAATGTAATATACTAAGGAGCTTGGGTTGAGCCCTAGTCCGCCCAAGTGAGGAGAAAGATCAACTGTTCACCGACCTGAAAGACGTGAGCAAGGCTGGGTTTGCGGTTTAGGGTTTAGGAGTTAGGATTTAGGGTTTAAAGTTAGGGTTTAGGGGTTAGGATTTAGGGTATGGATTTAGGAGTTAGGATTTAGGGTCTAGGGTTGGGTTTAATTAGGGCTTTAGGGTTCGAGGGCTTCCTGGGCGAAGAGTTCACAATCCACAGCTCTAAACCCCAACGGAGTACCGTCAACCCTGAAAAAACTCCATGTAAACTTCAGCCCACATGCCTGAATCCCTAAGCCCCAAAATCGAAGACTGAGGTGGAGCAAGTGGACGTGCCCAAGAGGTTCAGCTTCGAATTCGTTCTGGGGCAGATGGCCTTGGACTTGCGGCTGGTCCAAGTTGATTCCACGAAGTCCATTTTTGTTTCGGGTGGATGGCCCAAATTGGGGTTTAGGGTTTAGGGTTTAGGGTCCCAAACCAAGCAATGGGGTGTTTAGGGTTTAACAGAGGGTAGGCTAAGAACAGAGGGTAGGCTCTTAGTGAAAGTCTTAGTGGAGACGAGACTTTTTTTGGGTCTACATTGGAGGTTCCCTCAACCCCATACCCCAGGCCCTAAACCCTAGAGGGAGATTTGCAGGTTCGAGGTGGTGATAGGTAGCTTTGTACTTGTTCCGTTCACAAGAAACCGGTGGATCCAAATATCATAAATAAGTCAGAATACGTCTTTAACTTTAATCACCCAGAGTCAAAAAGCAGCACTTGAGGTGATATCGAAGCCTCCTGTTATCCAAGCCCCTCGTAGCGCGGACAGTCTCCTTGTATGCAGGTGGCCGTAGGAAGTAGTAACACTACTAAGCGTCAACCCAAAAGCCTGGTTTCTCGAACCCAGTCCCTAGATCCGTCGAACTCCAGCACAGACTCGCGCCTACACCCAAACTCTAAACCGCCGTAACTCCCAAACCCTAAACCCCC